AAAAAAAAACAAACTAAAAGCAGAGCAAGGTTAGGGAGCAGTCTGGGGGTGTAGGTGGGCAGTGGCTGGGGCAGTGGCTGGGCAACCTGCAATACAAGCTGGTTTCCTTGAGAAAAGAAGTGAGCCAAGGCTTGACGGAGGTGGGGATTAGCTAAGCACACACCTGGGAAAGCAGTGATCTAGGCAGAAGGGGCAGCTAGGGTAAAGGTCCTGAGGTGGTGTGAGTGTATCAGACGTGTTACAGTTTTAGAGGAGAAGCAAGGAGGCCAGTGAGACTGGAATGGAGTGAGCACAGGGCAGTTGGAGATGAGGAAAGTTCTAAAGGTAATGGGGAGCCTTGTAAGCTACTTTAAGGTCTTTGGTTTTTATTATGATTGAAACGGGGATCCATTGCAAGGTTTTGAGCAGAAGAGTGATGGATGGCTTTGTTCCGAAAGGATCACTGAACGGCTCTGTTAGAAATAGACTGTAGGTAGCCAAGGGTCAAAGCAGAGAAACCTGTTAGGAGGAGGCTATTGCAGAAACCCAAATGAAAGATGCTGGAGACTCAAACCAGCTGCTGAAGTGTTGAGACACAGTTGGATTCTGGCTGTGGTCTAACTAACTAACTAACTAACTAACTAACTAACTTCACTTGGCTCCAGAATTGACCTAATCTAATTCACACACTGGTTCCTATTTTGTTTCTAATGGTCTCTAATCATTGCTTATTGAATTAAGGTCTGTAAGTCCTACTTGACTTTTCTAAATCACTTTCCCAAGTCTTGATTAAGTCCATGTGAAATGATAGTTCTTGACTTCAGAGGCCAACAGCCACAGTACCAGGCACTGCACGTAAAATTACAGAGGAAGGAATAGTCCCTGCCTTCAGTTTAATCAGGAAGACAGTGTTGGCAAAGATCGGCAGAGACGGAGAGCCAAAAGGCTGAGAAGGAAAAACAAGGAAATTATATTAAATATTTCCAGCATGGTGCCAGTCACTTCCCTGAAGTAATAACGTATGTGTTTCTGAGACATGAGATGGAAGATAAACAAATCTCAATTTGGACGAGTCACATAAGTTCTTTGTGTTTTGGTTTCCTCATCTGTAAGATGGTTATAATAAAGTAATTCTTGGCCTACCTATTTCACAGGGGTAATGGGAAGATCAGAAACAATAAAAATGAGGAAACAGGTGTGAAAACACTGCGCACCGAGTGATATTGTGATTGAAAGAGAAGGAAAAAACCTAGGGATCCACAGGGATAATGGTATTTCAATGTGGCATGTCTTCCCACCTCCGGGGAGCCAATGTTTCAAAGTCTCCTTAATAGGCTTCATCTGTCAGTGTATTTTCAGTTCTGCTTAAGCTTTGAAATTAATGTCCATCTATGTTGGCAGCTCTTTTAGGTCTCATCTGCTAGGTAACTGAGCATTAAGGTGGAGCACATCTGTAAATACAACCACTCCATTCCCAGTGATGATGGAATTGCGATATTAGTTTTTCATTGGCTAAGGATATTTGAGCAAGAATGCCCCCCTCTCAGGAGATGTACAAACTCCAAATCTGTGAAATGGATAACTTAGCTGATGATGCTTTGCTTTATTACAAAATAATTTATTTTACATAGGGAACATTAGATACAGTATATTTAAATGGAAATCTCTCTTGGAGATTATTCTGTAATAATACTAGCAGGTCGAAAGGGCTTATTTGAGAGGCCTTACCTATTGCTGTTGAGTCCGTGCTTCAGATCTTTTTTTTTTTTTAATATATTTTTTAAAGATTTTATTTATTTATTCATGAGAGACAGAGAGAGAGAGAGAGAGAGGCAGAGGGAGAAGCAGGCTCCCAAGGAGCAGGGAGCCCGATGCGGGACTCGATCCCAGGACCCTGGGATCATGACCTGAGCCGAAGGCAGATGCTTAACCATCTGAGCCACCCAGGCGCCCCCTGTGCTTCAGATCTAAACCTCCCTTTATATATCTAGAAATGATATCATCTAGTCAAATCTCTCATTTGTAGCTGTAGAAACTGAGCACTGGAGAAATTAAGTAACTTGTCAGAGATGATAATTAATATCAGAATAAACACTTGTTTGATGTTATCCCTCCTACACCCTAGTTTCACATGGGGTAAACAGTCCTTAGAAATTGGTTCACACTAATCAAATTCCGAGGAGCCTAATCTATATACTAAAATGACATTTAAAAAAACTTACATAGAATGTATCCATCAAATGGATCAGGTAGGATTTTTCTCTTCTAGGGATCCTGTTCTAAACATATAGGTTCTTTTGAAATCTAATTAGAAAGTCTAGATTCATATAGAATCTGAGCAATAGGAACTAGATGGTATAAACTATATCAAAAGTGAAAAACACCTAATGAGTCATCTTTGTCCACCAGAAAGAAATTTGGGGATATTTATAGTAGAGGATCTTTTCATTGGCCCAATTGCATAAACAGTAACAAATAGTCTCCATCTGACATTTTTCTACATTCCATGTTGACCCACATCTTCTAATGACGGTGTTGTAGTATATTATCATCCTTCCAGTTTCAAATTCCTACTTTGCTCTGGGAACATTTTCATAAACTGTCTTCTGATTGTTTCAGGGACATCCTTTTGTGCAGACTGATGTCAACCATAGTGTGGTAATTTCAGAGGGCATCTCTTTTATGACCTTGTATATTTGACCTTTTATTTAATTTTTATTTCTATCCTACTTGGTGTCTCTCACATCCTGGTATTCAATGTAAATGTAAATTCAGAATTGGCAGTTTCAGACTTATAAATGGAGTGATATTTCAAAAGTCCCTTTATAAGTTGGTTGTTTGGAATTCACCATTATTACATAGAAACGTATCATGAATGTTGATTAAGTCCACAAACTAGCCAACAAACATCCATTTAATCTCTGCACATTTCAAGTAGTACTGGGTATTAACTTACATTCTGCATTGAGGAACCAACCACCATGCCGTGAAGGAAGGAGGAAGAAACAAGCCCAGGGCAAATTTTGGAATTAGGTCAGGTTGATCTCTGGCGTCCTTCCACCCCCTTAATTGCCCAGTTTCCCTTGTTCCAAATTCCTAAGAACAAGTGTCCTTACTTGCCCAGAATCCTACAATGCATAGCACTATATCCAAGAAAAATCCATCCTGCACAGAGTGCTCTAGACTTTAGAATGACTTAAGTTCACTAATATTGACACTTGCCATTGGTGCTTCAAGGAGGGGTGTCGCATGTTAGGAAAACAATCTGGTTGAATTACTTTACGTTAATATTGAGTAACCGAAAACCCCCAAATGCTGTCAGAATTTTTTTCAGTTTTTAATAAGAGGTGGTTGTTTTTTTCCCACACAAATCGTTACCATATAAACTTTAGAAAGTACAATAAAGGGAGTGAAAACATTCATATCATGTGAGGATATATAATTTACTGTACCTAGAATTACACCTCCCAAGAATCTCTCCACTTATTTCCCAATCTCTAGTCCTCTAAACAGACCATAGTTTTTGAAGTTTTTTTTTTTCCATTATCCTACTTGGGAACCCCCAGTTTCTCTACAAGTGTTAAGTTTTATTTTATTTTTCCAGCAGTGCAGCAGTGGCATCTAGGGGATTGCCTATATGTAAAGGGAAACTGCCAAAATCATAAACTGCTTGACAGAAAGAATGGGTGGGGAAGGAAAGGAGGGCAGAACAGAGAGACTTAACTGATGTCAAGAACCGTTGCCAAGGGGACGCCTGGGTGGCTTAGTCGTTAAGCGTCTGCCTTCGGCTTGGGTCATGATCCCAGGGTCCTGGGATCGAGTCCCACATTAGGCTCCTTGCTCAGTGGGGAGCCTGCTTCTCACGCTCCCTCTGCTGCTCCCCCTGCTTGTGCTCGCTCTCTGACAAATAAATAAATAAAAATCTTAAAAAAAAAAAAAAAGAACCATTGCCAAGCAGCTTAGGGGGAACAGGCATTTTCCCGGTGGGGGTGGAAGGGCAAAGTGGAACCACCGGGATGGAAGGTAATGTAGCAATAGCTAACAAACCTTTGATGCAGCAGTCCTGCTTCTTGGAATGTACCAGATGGATAAACTGCAGGTACACAGAGAAGAATGGATAAGGTCATTGCTTGCAATATTGTTTGTGTTTACAAAAGATTAGAAACCAAAATATCCATTGATAGGAACCTGGTGGAATAAATTATAGTACAGGGGCGCCTGGCTGGCTCAGACGGTAGAGCATGTGATGCTTGATCTTGGGGTTGTGAGCTTGAGCCCCATGTTGGGCTTAGACATTACTTAAGGGAATAAACAAAAATTATAGTACAGGCATATAAAGGAATATTGTGCAATTGTTGAAAGAGACAAAGTCATACATACTGATATGAAACAACCTATAAGATACATTGTTAAATGGAAAAAAAGCAAGGTACAGAACAGAGTGTATGGTATGCTACCATTTAAGTTTTTAGATATATATGCCCATCTATGCTTAGAGTAGGAAGCAAATTCAGTTAAGTTGGTAATAGTGGTTCCCTAGAGAACTGGAAGATTGAGAGATTGGAGTAGGAGGGAGACTGACTTTTCACTATAAATCTGTGCTGTTTAAATATTTTACTGTCTGCATTCAAAATAAATAAAATTCCAGTAACCATTGTCAAGAGAAGACCCATCAGAAATGAAAACCCCAGCATGTCAGGGTTAGAAGGGCCCATAGAGATTAAAAAAAAAAAACAATGTTCAGGGGCGACTGGGTGGCTCAGTCGGTTAAGCGTCTGCCTTCAGCTCAGGTCATGATCTCAGGGTCCTGGGATGGAGCTCCGCATCGGGCTCCCTGCTCTGCGGGAAGCCTGCTTCTCCCTCTCCCACTCCCCCTGCTTGTGTTCCCTCTCTCACTGTGTCTCTGTCAAATAAATAAATAAAAATCTTAAAAAAAACAAAAACCGATGTTCAGAGAAGGCAACAGATCTGCCCAAGGAGAGGGTAATATGTATCCTTGAGGCTTTAGCTACCACTGAGCCCCACCTGGCTTTAAGGATGTCAGCTAAAAGTCAGTGCCTACCTCCATGTCATTTTCCAGTCTCACCTTTGCCTGTTAGAAGGGATCCAGTCTGAAACTTGGATGTGGGGGTTAAGTGACAGTTTGGGGAGGTAGTGCTGTTTCTGCGGGGAGCAGCAAGGACTCTCAGCGTCTGCTTGACCTTTGACCTTTTCTCTGAATACACAAGGTTGACTTTGACTTTGCTCCCAGAACCAAGGCACTGCAGCCACAGTCTGATTTTGAATGAATGTAGACCTTTTGGTTTCTGGAAGGAGAAAAGCTAGACAGAAAAAGAAAGCTGGTTCTTAATCTGAATGGTACCCAGCTAAACAGCTTCCATTCGTGACCCCTGTTAAAACTCTGCTGCTATACTTGCTTCTCTTTTTTTAGTTCACTTCTTCCTCAACATGTGTTTATGGTCCTAAGTATACAAGCCCTGCCTTTCCTCCTTCCTGCCATGGGTCTCAGGAAGATAGGTGACTGCGACAAATTCAGCCCAGAGAAATGCTCCTAGACTGTTTCCTCCAATGCAGAGAGGGTTGCGTGCTGCCTCCTTCTCTTTCTTCACCCTCAGTTGTTTGATTTACATAGCCATGCCTTAGGTCATGAGTGTTAATTTAAAAACTGGTTTCCAGAAAGCCTCTTGAGGGGATACATATCTTTAAAATAGGATATTTGAGATCTGGGCTGGGAATTGGGGGAGACGGGCATCTTTTAAAGGTAAAGATTTTCCAGGATGGCAAGGGGATTTTTCAGGAAGGGCCCATTCCCTGCTTTGCATGAACACATCCCTGATTCGTCTCACATCCTTTGGGAAGAACCCTGGCAGCTGTCCCACATGGCAGCTGCTCTCTCTGAGTTCTGGAAACAAAAAGAGAAAAAGTCAGGGTTTACAATTTATTGGGTACTGTTCAGAATTCCAGGTATTGGAGAGGGGGGTTGCAAAAGAATGCAGTGTCTTCTCATAGAGCTGGCAATTGGGGAGATCAAACACTATCAAAAAAAGATTTTAAGGGCACCTGGGTGGCTCAGTTGGTTAAGCGACTGCTTTCGGCTCAGGTCATGATCCTGGAGTCTCAGGATCGAGTCCCGCATCAGGCTCCCTGCTCAGCAGGGAGTCTGCTTCTCCCTCTGACCCTTCCCCCTCTCATGTGCTCTCTCTCTCTCTCATTCTCTCTCTCTCAAATAAATAAATAAATAAATAAGATTTTAAAATAATGATTTAATCTAGTACAAAGAAAACTGAGCACCAATTCATTACACTTAGGCGGTTAAAAAAGGTGAAATAGAGTTAAGTGAAATTAACTAATAAGTTAACGAAAAGACTAACCAACCCATTCCTTCAAATGCTGCTTGTTATCTCTTCTCCTCCATGTTCTACCTGCCTTCTTATTTTAAAACTTCTGAAAGTTTATTAAATGTAACTCTGAACAAGGTATCTCTTCAGGTTTCCATGGAACCACTAATGCTTTTTGGCACTTAACTCACAGGATGTTGTGAGTTTTCTTCATCTGTTAAATTTGTTGCTGCTGTGCCTTGAGCTGTTTGGCCGTGACTCTGATCAGCTAATTTTAGAGATGAAATGTTTGGACACTTTGGAAAAGCATGTTTTAAATAAACAGTTACCAGAGAGCAGCAAATGGTCCATTCCAGCCTACCCCCCTTACCCTCACCACTCCCTACCCAAGAGCATCCCCATCTGTTTGGATGTACCACCTTAAAAAAGGAAGACAGCATCTTTTGAGGCTTATGGATTTGGGAGTGGTAGGTGTTAATAATACTGAAACTGTGACAGCACCCTCCAGTAAAGAAAGCCATCTAATGGTGATAGCACTTTGAATGTTCGTTACATGAATAAGGTAGAAGAATGCATCATATTCTCTGAAGACTTCTCACCATGGGGGGCACCTGGGGGACTCAGTCTGTTAAGCATCTGCCTTCTGTTCAGGTCTTGATCCCAGCATCCTGGGACAGAGCCCCGCTTCCTGGGGAGTCTGCTTCTCCCTCTCCCTCTGCTCCGCCCCCGGCTTGTGCTCTCTCTCTTGCTCATTCTCTCAAATAAATAAAATCTTAAAAAAGGGGGGGCGGGAAGACTTCTCACCATGGAACAGCTATCTCTCTGAGTTGAAGTAAGTTACAGTCCTGCCTAGAAGCAAGAGAATACATGGGATGACTGTAAAGCGTCATCTACTGAGAGCTGGCTTTATCTCAATCTGGTAGAATAGACCCCCAAACGGTCTAGGTCTCTCTTTGGATTTTCTAGGATATTAGACTACAGAAGTACTTACCTTTCTTGCCGACATCATAGGACATAATGATTAGGCTAAAAACCAAGCACATGCTGTTAATCTGTCACAGCCCCTTCGTCTTCTTGCGAGGCGCTTGCATTACTGCCCTGGAACCAAGTTTGACCCCAGGAGAGTCTGGTTCCACCTATTTTTGCCCCATTTCCTGAAGACCCAGGAATAGAGCTGATTGGAGAGAGAACCAAATGTGCTTGTTAATGACTGACTCAAAAAGTCTTCCTCCGACTTCATAGCTGGTGCCGACATAAGGAACTGTAATTACCTAGAGGCTTCCCTAGGAGAAAGGACATATCACTGTGATATGCTTTACAAATACTTGCACATGGACACGTAGACATTCACATGCATACTCACTGACACGGGCACATAGATTTATACACTGACATAAAGAGATGTAGAGATTTCTCTTAAGGAAAACGATTGAAGAATAGAGCAGGGGGACGCCTGGGTGACTCAGTCACCCAGGTTAAGCGTCTACCTTTGGCTCAGGTCATGATCCCAGGGTCCTGGGATCAAGTCCCGCATTGGGCTCTTTGCTTGGCGAGCCTGCTTTTCCCTCTACCTGCTGCTCCCCCTGCTTATGCTCTCTCTCTCTCTCTCTCTCTGACAAATAAATAAATAAAATCTTTTTTTTTTTTTTTTAAAGAATAGAGCAGGAAACTAGAACTGAATGAGTTAGTGAACTACACTGGAAAGAGCACCGGACTAAGAACTTGGTAGACTTGAGTTTTAGCATAAGCCCTGTTATTAATATCGCCTTGAGAAAATTGCTTGACTCCTCTGAATCTCCATTTTCTCCTCTATAACTGGAGAATTCCAACCAAATAATCTCTAGAATTCATTCACAGGTGTACACATAAACTCATGTTAACATAGATGTATGTGCTAGTTTTGCACATTTTCACACCCATGAATAGACCACATTGCCATGGCTATTGCATTAGGTAAGTGCTACTGTCTGCAGTTTGGGAAGGTTTTCCTAGACAGATAACCATTGTTGTAGAGTTTTCTAACTTTTAGCAAAGAGTTTACATCTAGTGTAATACTCCATAGACTTTGTGATAACATAGGTAGGCAGATCATACAGCAGAAATGAAGATCTATGCAGATCCTCTGCCGAAGTCATGAGCCTCTGCAGTCTTCCTACTCACCGTAAATTTTCTTCATTGGAGCCAACATAGGTCTGGCTATGCACAAGAAGGTCTTGGAGCCTGGGCGCCTGGGTGGCTCAGTTGGTTAAGCAACTGCCTTCGGCTCAGGTCATGATCCTAGAGTCCCGGGATCGAGTCCTACATCGGGCTCCCTGCTCAGCAGGGAGTCTGCTTCTCCCTCTGACCCTCCCCCCTCTCATGTGCTCTCTCTCTCTCTCAAATAAATAAATAAATAAAATCTTAAAAAAAAAAAAAAGAAGGTCTTGGAGCCTGACACTCTGATAATGATGTGAAGGGAGCTTGAGGCAAGGGATTTTCCCTGAGGGAGTTCATGAGATCTGAGTCAGATCATAATTTAAATATTACCCTCTTTCCTGGCATTTTTAATTCAGGTTGAAATCTGGCTAAATTGAATTCAGAGGAAATCTTGATGGGGAAACAGAATGGAAAGAGATGTCACCAGAGGACAACATGCTGCCTGAAATGTGGAAGAAGGGCTGAGCATTCAGCCACAGTGCCTTTCACCCTTTCGTTCAACAAGTATGGTGGGCCTACTGTTTGCTGGCCACTGTTCTAGCAGTGAGCCAGACTAAGTCTGTGTTCACACGAAATGATGGGAAGCAGACAATAAATGCAGTTGGAGAGACAATGGTGCAGAGGGCTGGTGATAATACACTAATGCAAATACAAGATAATTAGAGGTTGTGATAGTTGTGAAGCAGCAAACGGGATGAGGTGAAGGACTACCAGCAGAGGTTACATTTACAGTGGTCAGGACAGACTTCTCCGAGGAGGTGACAGCTGAGCTAAGAAAACCAGGAGAGTGGATGGCAGAGAAGCCAATAAAGAAGAGTCTTGCAAGGAAGGAATCAGGTGGTCAAGTGCAGAGAGGTTGTGTAGAATGAAGACAGTACCGGTGGGTTTGACAATTTTGTGACTGCAGTTCCAGCAGAGTGGCGGAAGCAGGACAGGGCTGAGACGAAATTGGAGGTGAAAAAGTGTACGTCACTTTTTCAAGGTGTTTTGCTGTGGAAAGGAACAGAGAAGCAAGGCCACTGAGTGGAGGGAACATAAGTACCTCAGATCTTTATTGGCCCAGAGCAACACTGTCTTATTTTCTTTTTCCCTGGGGCAATTGCCTGATTCTCTTAGCAGGGCAGGTGGTTAGGGCAGAATAAAGGGCTGCATTGCCTTTCCTTTCATGATTTTTGCTTACTATTTCCTTCACATGATTACATGATTCTCTGCTCCCTTATGATATCAGACACTCCCCCCCACCCCCACCCCGTCTGTCTGTTTGAAATATTCTGTAGATGATTTCCTTCCTAGATGCCACTTAACAGTGCTGCCCCCTTGGAGCCGGGGTAGGAAAGAATCTAGGGCTTGCTATTGTCACTCTGTGTCACAAGGTGGCAGAAGAGCTCACTCTTCCCAAAGGAAACCTTGTGCTTGGACAAAGCGGAAGTTTTCTTTTCTTTTCTTTTTTTAAGATTTTATTTATTTTTTGACAGCGAGAGAGAGAACGCAAGCAGGGGGAGTGGGACAGGGAGACGCAGGCTTCCCGCTGAGCAGAGAGCCCGATGCGGGGCTCCATCCCAGGACCCCGGGGTCATGACCTGAGCCGAAGGCAGACGCTTAACGACTGAGCCACCCAGGCGCCCCTTGCGGAAGAGTTTTCTTTTCTCAATTTCCAGACCCTTCCCTTTTCCTTTGTGTCTCAAAGCCCTAAAAGTCAGCCTGCATGGGGAGTAGCTATACTGTGGGATACAGAGAAGCAAGAAAGCTTTGTCTGGGTCTCTTTCTGTACTACTGGATATTTTGACGGGTTTTCAAAACGTTTAGAGTATTTGTAGAGGAGAGGATTATCACTCCTGATCTCCTTTCCTCACAGCAAAGATTTCTAATTTAGGAGGGAAAAAAAAAGTACTATAACATAGGTGAGTTTTCTAATGTGTGTAGATGAGAGATGTGACTCTGGAAGATAACTGGAAGCTAGGACTGGATGGATCAATCAGGGTGGGTCTGTGGGAGGAGCACTTGACAAGAAGTCAGGAGATTTACCTAGGTTCTAGATTAGGCTCTGTAATTGACTAAATCCCTTTGAGTAAGTCATTTAACTTCTCTGGCCTCTATTTCAGTTTCTTGAGATGGTTAGACAAGATGATTGTGAAGGCCTCTTACAGCTCTAAAATTATTATCTTAATGCCATGCTCTGCTCTTCTTTCTTATAAAGGTGCATTTTGGGTTGGTTGGTTTGGTTTATTTTGAATTCTTTTATTATGGAACGTATCATACAGATAGAAGAGTATATACAACATAAGTATAGTTTGAATAATAACAACAGTAATAATAATGGGAACACTATGTAGCCATCACCCTAATGATGAAATTGAACATTGCCAGTGTCATAGAAGCTGTTTATCTTCTGATCACACTTCTTTCCCATTGTTTACCCCTGCTTTTTAAAAATAATGAACTCTCTGGTATATATATATATCACTAAAAATAGGCTTTTTTATTTTTGCCTGCTTTTGAACTTAAGTAAACGGAATCATTCTTTTATTATGTACAACACAAAATGGATATACCTCCCTTTGTGACTTCTCCCAATTACTACCTACCATCAGGAGTAATTGTTATGCAGACTTCTGCCACAGATGAGTTTTGCCTATTTTTGAACTTTATATAACAGGAAACATACTTTTTGTCTGGAATTTTTGCTCTACATTATATTTGTAAAATTAATCCGTATTTCATGTAGCAACAATTTGTTCATTCTCATTGTTTTGCAATACTCCATTGTATGAATGCCTCACAATCTATGTACCCATTCTACTGCTGAGACACATGGAGTTTTTTCCAGATTGGGGCCATAATGAACAGTGTTCCTGGGCACATATGAAAGTTTCTCCAGAGTATAAATTCAGCAATGAAAGCTGGGTTATAGGGTAGACAGGGGATGTTCAGCTTTACTAATTAATGCCAAACTCTTTTCTTTAAAGATTTTTTATTTATTTATTTGACAGAGACATAGCAAGAGAGGGAACACAAGCAGGCGGAGTGGGAGAGGGAGAAGCAGGCTTCCTGCCGAGCAGGGAGCACGATACGGGGCTCGATCCCAGGACCCTGGGATCATGACCTGAGCCGAAGGCAGATGCTTAACAACTGAGCCACCCAGGTGCCCCCAAACTCTTTTCTAAGAGGTTGTCCCCATTTACACTTCTATCTGCAATATATGAAAGTTCCTGTTGTCCCATGTCCTTTCAAAAGAGGCCAAAGAGTCTTTTCAGTGTGGTACAACCATGGGACTGAACAGGGCTCAGAGTGCCAACCCTGAAATATTGGTTGGTTTTCAGAAGCCCAGGCCACAGTCACTTCTCCTGTTTACTTGCTCCATCCAAGTGAGGGTAAAGGATTCAAATGATCTTTAGGTCTCTGATCACATGCTCTGTTACACTGGGAATATTGGCCTCGGGTGAGTGGAGTGGTGAATTTAATAACATAATCATTCCTGAATGAAGTGAGCATCCATAGGATATTTTGTTCTTGTACTGAGCACTTGTAGGAGATGGAAGGGGGCACAGAAGGGAAAGAGGAAGTGATATTTTCAGTGTGCTTGTTATGTTCCAAGCTCTGTGTTAGAGACTTTACGTTTTGGTTATAACATTTCATGCAAAACACAACCTTCCAAGGTAGCTATTATACCTCAGTTTTATAGACAAGGAAACTGAGGCTCAGAAAAGGGGTCATTTGCTCAAGGTCACAGAGCTAATTATCGACAGAGTCAAGATTTAAAGCCTGGTCTATCTGATTAAAGAGCTCAAGCACTTTACAATATAGAACAAGTCCCTGCTGGGACACCTGGGTGGCTCAGTCGGTTAAG